AAAAAAAAAAAAAAGGATTGCTTGCAGAATCACATTACGCTATATCATAAAAGATATCTGCACTTGGAAAATAAATACAGATTACAAGTGAGCCATGCAATAACAGACTCATAAGAATGGCTCACCTGAGGTCCCGTCAGTAGCCAACCCCACATTCGTATTTCAACTTTATCCAAATCCAACTCCCTTTATTTAATTAATTCTATGAGGATATGTGTTTTGTTATAGAGGCAATAAAGAAAGTTTCAAAAATTAATTCATAATTGACTAAAGTTCAAGGATCTAACACGAGAGAGTTTTTAGAAGGAAACAAGAAATGTATGTACATGGCACAAAAATTGTTACTATTGTATTAATTACATCATACATAGTTTAAATTTCAGAAACTTTCCGAAGTGCACAATTCTTCTTAAGTCTAATTTTTATATTAAATTAACAATGTCTTTTTTTTCTATAGAGTGCGAATATAAAATATAAATAACAAATATAAGTAAAAATTTCATAATGAGTCGTGTTGATAGAAGAACCCCTTGATACAGGTTTACATAAAAGATTGTTAGAAAAACAATTTATATAAGTAACACTTTGTGAAAAAAAATGTTGCCTGGTTAGATTATTATGTAATTCTAGAACTAAAGCCTATTGTCTAAGCAAGCTTGTTTTAGTGTTAGTCGAAGGAAAACAAAAAATATTTCTTCCCCTTATGTGTGGAATGTTTCTACAAACATAAAATCGCTTTGACTGAAGAAATATTTTAAATGTGCTTTCAAAGCTAAGTATAAATTAATGTTAGATATGTATCCCTCTAATTATCTGTGAATTAGCAATAAATCACCAGTTAACTTACAATATGTCTCTATGTACATAACATTAATTTAATAGTGCTTAAACAATGTTAGTATACGTACATTGCTGATCTAAAAGAGTGCAGAGTGGAGGAACCATAATACGCGTTACCACTGTAAGTCACCAGATATTTTATTTAACCATATGTCCTGTATGACTAAAAAATTATATTGGAAGAACTATGGTAATGAAACTGTTACCGAATACCGTAGATAGAAAACAACCAATAGAGCAAGATAAAGATAAAGGTGTATGAAAGGAGTGCTTCGTTAAAAAGATGATCATTTAGAATTATACACAAACGTTTCTTTTCATTGAATACAATCACTTATTTATGTTACTTAATTATATTTTAATTAGATGATGGATAAATTGATATTTTCATTGTAATTAATTACATTTAAATAGTGTTAAAAAAACTGATCAAGAATATGTATTTATAATATTCATAAAAAATAATTAGATATTAGTAATAGTGCAAATTTTCAGAATTTTTTTCTAAATTTAAAACGACCTATTAACTTCCATAAATATCAGTGTTATATTTTAAATAATCTTTAATAAATATTCGAAAAAAATGTTATGGAAAGCTGCAACAATGTACCCTCACCTTTAAATGCTTTAATCTAACTACCAAAAAAGCAGAATTTTCATACAAATCTTGTATGTGTATGTGTGTATAAAATAGTACCGTATAACCAATAATCTAACAGTTACTTTAAAATGCGAGTAATGGATATGGTAAGGGTATAGGTAATGACAATGTAAGCAGTTACATTTAGATCCTCTGAGAGGGTTCCTGGAGATGCTGGGAGGTGGAACAGCAGGAGGCAGGTTGTTCCCCTGAGGAGTTGCAGGTGCCGAACCAGACCCTGCTTGCTTCTGTTTGTCTGAAACAACACTCATTGCTTATATCTTTCAATAATCTGTGACTCCAATGGCCCTTTTTTCTTCATCTTGCTAGTTTCATACTTATATCTATTAAAATTTAATGATAGTATGCACTTTCAGTGGCATAAGTAGCACTCCAGAGGGATTTTAGTTCAAATGATATAATTTTATTAAAGAGTTCAATAATCTTGTAATAAAAATCATAAATAAATAAACAAAATGAAATAAGTACTTGTTACATTTTTTTCTGATAGTGTAATATTTATATTCTTTTTATTACAATTGCTATTATAAATTAAATATTTATATTAAAAAAGAAAAAAATATATAAACCCCCTGGAATACATAATAACTTATAACGTCATCCTCCACCTATTGTTAGATTATAATGCTCAAGCATTGTAACACAACCACATAAGCATAAGTCAATGAATTTGTTTCGCATATGCCTAAATCAATAAAATTTGTGATTGAGTGCTAAAAAATAAATTGAACAAGTGTATGTATGTGAATAGTAAAATGGTATTGATGTGATAAATAAAGACTGCAAAATATATCTACCAAGACATGATGTACGAATGGAAAAATCAATTTCTTATATTTTAATAGTTTCATTAATTGAAAATTTTTTTGTAACTAATTTTGATTATTTCAGTATTTTATAATAATAACTAAGAATTACATTACATCAAGGTAGATAAAAACTATTGCAATTAAAAGAGAATAAGGACTTGTAAATGTTATTCAACTTTAAAAACCTACCCTGGGAGTTGGACATGAACAGGTTGAGTAGCGAGGTAGTACGGCGGGAAGCCTTGGTGGCTTGTGCATGTGACAATTCTCTGTCCCTTTCATTCAGATTTTCATTTGTTTTTTCTTGTACCTTCCCCTTTTCCTCATCCACCTGACAACCCTCCCCTTTTAATCCCCGATCGTTTTTTGAACTGTGAGTGTTACCAGCTACGCCTGTTTCTCCATTAGCTCCTTTTGATGTTTCCTTAGATGTCTCAACATTGCTTTCCAATTGGGAATGACCGGTCATTTCTCCTAAACCTGTCATGATTTCTTCATATTCGAATGTACCTGATTTATGAGAAAATTATACTCAAAATATTATGCTTTACTGTACATGTTACAAAGATTTTTACCTGGTTTTTCAAAACCTGTATATTTGCTTTGTACAAATTGTTCTAGTAATTTGTCCACTGTCATGTCCAAACACTGTCGTTTAAAATCAATATGAACTTGACCAACTTGTTCGTGATTTGATTGCAAAACATCAGCATAAATATTTAAAAATTCCTTCATATGTTTTAAGTGTGTTTCCTCTACATCTTGGAATCGCTTAGTGAAAAAAAAAAAAAATAGATTCATTAGTGTAATGCCAATTTTCTCAGAAAATTTCACTTAGAACTGATAAATTAAATATGTACCCTGCATGCCTGAGTCATTTTGGTTTGAAAATCATTCCTTATGATCATATATTTATCAACCAAAGTTTTATAATCGTCCTGGGCTTTTTTAAACTTAATTTCTGCTTTTTCTAATTCTTTTTGACTGGCGTTGTCTTTCCGTAATTTTTCTAATTCCAGACCTTTTTGCATACGCATATCTTTTGCCTTGTGTAAAGTCACAGTAATACTCTGTATACTTTGCACAACTTCCAAAGTGGATGATTCTTCTTCTTTTACCTATATGTATTTTATTTTGTATTTTTTTAATATTATATAGTATCTTTTTATAGTATGAATGTAATCAAATATCGGAGTCAATTAATCTATTAATTGATTAACTATTTCAAATTGCCTGTGATTTGAGAAACGCTATATTTATAAACACTACTGTCTCAGAGAACCTAGTGACCTGACTGTGGGCGGATACTGATAAAGTAAATATACAAAATGACTCATACTTCAGTATGGTTAAAGAATGCACAAATAAAAGAATATAAGAAAGCTTAGGTTGTTAACATATTGTTAATATACAAGAATGAATATGTTTTTTATATGTCTTAATATTTAATAAGACTATAATACTTATTAAATATGCTTAATTCTACTATATGTAAATAATTGCTTTAAAAAATCTCCAAAATTTTGGCTTATTTTTATATAAGAAAATTAAGAAGAAACAGTTACATACAGCCTTGTGTTTTTTATGTAATTCATCTGTATATTTTGATACATCTTTTATTAATTCAGTAACCCTTTGGGCCATTTGCAAGTGTAAACCAGCAAGTTTTTCTGCTGCTCCTCTTAAGGCAGCCCAAACAGGTGCAAATGTTCCTTGCGTACTACTGCTACTGCCAGCTTGTTTAGCTAGCTTACTCAGAACCTTATAATTATTTTCTTCTATAGTCGATCGTTCTTTTAGGAACTCAGCCAACTCCTTGCTTGCAACTGCACCATGCTTCATGTTATGATATAATACGTCAAATCCATTATTCTTTTCGCCCTTGAATTACAAAAAAAAGTTTTTTTTGTCTAAGTATTTTTCATGTCATGTACAATATATGTATTAATTCACATATTTAGGCATTTACGTTTCATATTTTTAATACATGTTAATAAATACTCTGGAATTATTTGTTGGTAATTATTGAGATTATGATTTTTCTAATAGCAGAAAAGATTATGATTTTTTTAGTAGCAGAAAATTTCACTTGCAATTAAAGTTTAAAGCATGCCTAAAAGATATATACTAAAGCTATGCTTAAGACCACTTAGTCATTTAACACTTGAACCCTGATCATGCTGTAAACTCACATAGAGTAGGACTCTTGAGTAACATCGGCACAATAAGGTGTCATTACATATTATTACTCTTATCATTCTATTGTACATATTACTTCTCACTCATGATACATGGCTTAAATTTTTGTTGCAAATGTTATTAATACAAAATAATGAAGTTAGTCTTCTTTGTTTTGTTTCATAGTTCAATCAAGGGATTACTTTTTTTCTATACATATTGGATATTTTTCAACAAAAAATAAAAAAAAATAAAGCATGGTAAATTTATTTTATTTAAGAAATTTTTAAATACTACAACGAAAAACTTAACAATAATTGAGTCATCATAATTATATCCTGCACATAATAATCTTCAATAGATAAAATTTTAAGGGAGACAAAAGGAAGTGGCTGCTATCTAATCTGTACCGTGCTTCTGTCAGGAAGGTAATGTCAGATTTTTCAGAAAAATGTATAAAATTAAAACCCTTCAAAAATTGTAAGAAATACTGAAGACATTTTATCATTAAAATCTCTCAAATGATGAAAAAATTTAGAAATTTCGGTGACTTATTACAAAAAGGAAACTTTTCATTTAGTAAGAGTTTGGTGTTGCTACCATGTTAAAAAAGAAAAATATACAAAAATTCATATTAGAATATCAAAATAATATAATTAAAAAGTTGTTATAAAAGATATTAATGAAATACAACGGTTTCACTTTCATCTATGTTTAAACTATAAACATGTATAGAAAAAGAAGTGCATATGTCGATGTGCAGCCGTTTTTCCACAGATCGTGGAGATGACAGGGAAACGCAATGACAAGGAAGTGAAATGGGTAACCTTTAGTTCACGAAAAATTATAAAGGTAAGCATGCCACGTAAAGAAGAAAAGAGAAAGAACAAAGATAATTAGGGTATGATGGAAGAGAGACAGAAAAGAAAAGATTTCATTGAACGAAACGTGATAATTTAATTTAATTGAAAACAAAAATTACGATGGCGTGACATACGAACAACCAGACGAAGAGTTTATTGAAAGCTCGTATGCGAGGTAAAACGAAAAGGAAAGGGGAGAAGGCTTCTCAACGTACCTAACCTAAATACAACGGGGATGACATTCTGCGATAACAAGCGAGAAGACACTCACCCAAAAGTAGTCGGCGAAATCCACAGTCATGTTGGAACCGTGATCAGACCATCATAATTTATCTTCTGTATGTATCAGGCCGAACTGCACCGTTAATAACGAATCATTGACACACACATGCACACATTGGGGGACGACTACACGACACAACGTCCGAACAACAGACACAACGAGACGTAACTCAATTTACGACAGAGGCTAACGTAACGTTTCGTGCCCGAACGTTTCGAGCAGAACGAGCGCGCTCGACCGCGGAGACACGGGTCAACTTATATCGACTATCTCCGTTACACGTTTTCTCACAGACAAGGTACAGGATAGGCCAGTCGTCACCGACTAAATGTACGATAGACGTGACATCATACAAGATTTCGTCCTTTACGTTCTGAAATACCGATGGCAAGAAAGATCACGTAGCGGCGCCACAGACGAGATATGTGAATAGACATTGCATCTACGGACTTTTGTGGCCCGTGACCTGAAATACCGACATACTAAAAAATCGCTAGTTTTTTAGCGCACTCTACGTTTAGACAACGGTGAGTTGAGGAACTAGTGAATGAAACAGCAACATGATTTTGAAACCCATTACAATGTTGTCAAACTTTCAATACCGAATTGTGAAGCTAGTAAGCATAGACGAAGCATAACCGAAATCATTCTATTCTATATCAGAAAAAAGTCTATCCATGTTTTATGGATTTGTTGCAACTTTTTTCAATACACAGTAAATTAAAATTTTTAAATTATTAGTACATGGTTTTATGTATAAATTTTTAACTAACAAAATTTTCAACCATTATATTTCCTCATTTACACATTCTTTATATTATATATTCAAATTTACGTTAAATTTTTAACAATTTTATTATAATTATGCAGTGCATTGGTTGTAACAAATAACATAAATTCCATAATTCATTAGTTAAAAATTACGCTTATTAATTGAAATATTATTCGAAATTTTTCTATAAACTATCTTGCTTATCAATATTATGATAATAACGAATATTATGATTATAACGATTATTTATTTAATTATTTACTTGTTATTCATTTAATATAAATCTTTAATATTTCATAAAGATTTATATTAATGAAAAATATAGATATACATACGAAATATACATACGAAATATATCCTT